TGTCTACCCTTTCGTATATCCATTGAATTATTTTTATTAACTAACATGTAACTATGTCTTAATTTAAGTAAAAGACAATATGGACATAAGTAAATTTCAATTTAATCTTTAAACTCCCTCATGAAAAAACATCCTCAAGACTTAACGTAGTTTATTTAAACTTCTTCATGATTCTATTTCCTTCAGAAAGAAATATTCTTAGAAATCTACTTCATCGATCAATATCTATTTCCAAAATGATTTTTTTTTCTACTCACCAAGCGACCACATGTCAACTCCTTTTGTATATCTAAGCATACAAAAATGTTATTTTATCTAGTCTATTAAAAAGAGACTTTAAATATACTTTGAGGAAGCAAGAAGAATTTCTGGTGCACGATACCATCTTGTTGCTAAAAATAAAACAAAATAAATGATACATTAAATTTTTATTTGCATACACCTACCAACATATTCCGTCAATGCAGGATGTTGTAGATCTTCATAAACATGATTTAATGATCTTGCAAGACCAAAATCACAAATTTTAACTCGACATTGTTGATTAATTAAAACATTTGATGGCTAAAAGAAGAAGATTTCTTATTGACATATTCTACCATAATAGGCTCGTTTTTTTACTTTCATGTCACGATGAATAACATTTGCTGAATGAAGATATTTCATTGCTTTTAACAATTGATACATAACATAACGTTTATGTGTATCTTTAAGAATATTTCCTTTTCGTATAACATTATGAAGATCAGCCTCTGAATAATAAATTCAAAAATTTAATATAAAAGTCTTGAATGTTTTTCTTTCTACCCATAAACTCAAAAATAAGGTAAATATCTCGATCATTATCTGCTCGTAAAACATTGTGTAATCGTATTACATTTGGATGTTCACCAAATTCACGTAAGAAAACAATTTCACGATAGGTTCTCTAAAAATATCAATGAACATATGTATTTATCTATTTATTATTGATCTTACTTGGGCATCAGTTTGATTCCGAAATGCATCGAATATTTTTTTTAATGCAACTACTTCCTTACTTCGTTTATCAGTAGCTTTCCATACAATACCATAAGCTCCTTTTCCAAGACGTTTCTGAATCTCATAGTATCTTAATATATGTGTATCTACTCCTAAAATTCAAATAACAATAATAATATACAATGAATACATGTAGATAATTTGAATTACCATCAGACATTTTTAGATGAAAATTTTCGATAAATGTTTTTATTTAAACTCTTTTTCTGAGCATGTGAATTTTATACTAAAAAATGATACTTAAACATGCTCTTTTATTTTTTTGAGTCAAGAAAAATAACCATCAAAAGTTTTATCTGATGATACATTACATGACAACGCCCTCGAAATTGTAGGTGTAACAATGGTTAACAAACAGAGGTCACCATATGACTAAAACAAAAAAATCCTATTGTTAAAAGTATGTAAATTCAATTCATGTTAGCAATTTCTATAATTCAAATGGAAATTGTTTTTATTTGAATAAATTAACTGATAAAGTGATAACAGAAAACATAAATCATTATACAAGATATTTCTCTTTCTTCTCACGTAATAGTATCCGTTTCGTTATTTCTTTTTCTTTTTTTTTCAAAATACGAGAAAAGAATATTTACGAATCGATGAAGTCCTAAATAAAGGTTAAAAAACGTTGAATAAAAACAGTTACATATATTAAAATATTTAATATCTAGACATGAGTACTCGACGTAGAAGTGTTATGTCACATGGTACAAATCCATCCCATGTTCGTGCATCAATTGTATCACTTTATTCAGCAACATTCGATTCACATGATGGCGATAATCGTCACAAACTTTTTCGATGGATTTCAACATTATTTCTTCATAAAATCGATACATATCATGTCCTTGAAAGACAAGAAGGTACACGAACACTTGCTTATCATCTATTTGTATTTGCTTTAACTCTTATTTCACTTGTATTTGGTTCAATATCAACTATTGCTGAATGGCAATCAGCGTTAGATGCACCATTATATTATGGTGAATTAGCTTTATGTATATTTTTTGCCTTTGAATTATTATTACGTATATGGTCAGCTGGTTGTCTTCCTAAATACCGAACATGGTTTGGTCGTTTAATGTTTATAAGGCGACCAGTTATTGTACTTGATATATTAACTTTATTTGGTTTTATATTAGCCTTAGCTACAGGTATTAAAATAGGAAGATTTCCATTATTAACATTAAAATTTTTACCACCTTTACAAATGATTCGATTTTTACGTGTTGATAGACAATTATCATCATGGAAAATTTTAAAAGATATTATTATAGCACATCGTCAAGAACTTATTGTTACATTAGTGATTGCATTCATGTTTCTTATAACTGGTTCTTATCTTGTTTATATTGCTGAAACACCTATGGATGCTAGTTTAAGTACAGGACGATTTAAATCGGTAGCTGATACAATGTGGTTTTCAATTATTACGGTAACTTGTATTTGTAAAGTAGAAGGGGCTCTTTTCACATATTTGACGACTTGTTTTTTTTTTCTATTGAATTTCTAAGATAAAATATTGCACGTAGGAGAATATATGAGAATATTGTTTGCATAGTTTTATCATAGACAAGTACGAAATTTTTTGAAGACGTCACAAAAGAATTTTTTTAGCATACTATATTATACTTTTGATCGAACTCAAATATCTATTGATAAAACGTTTTTATGATCACAATACTTCGAAAGATTACCATTTGCGTTTTTTTCTATCAACATAATTTATAGACTTATAAAAATCATTTTTATGGATGTGTCAAATAGTCATTGAAGATAGAATATAAATGTTCTTGTCGCCTATTCTTCGACAAATACATCATAAAACGAATAACAACAAAATGCTTTTCGTGCCTTGTTCTATTCAAAATAATTGATCTACTGAATGATAAGTAGTCGACATTTGAAGAAAAAAAAAATTAAAAACTCGAAAACTATATAAAGTAAAAACCTAGACTTTTAATTATTCAAAAGCAACAAAAGTTGCAAGCAATGACATATATAAAAATGAATGTACAAAACTGTAGCATACGATATACTTAAGTTTTATTCAGGTTTGCCAAAGTAGGCAACAACATGGATATTTGGTGGGAAAATGACAGTGATATATTTGAAATTTGAAAAGTTTTCAATATACTTTGAATCCTGAAAACTGATCAGACTTATGTCATCTTAGATCAAGTACTTTTTTCTCAAAGAGAATAAAAAGAGCTACGAAATAAATCATATAAATTGTTAAATTAGAGCTCTCGCTCTATCGCTCTATATAAAAAACGTTGTTCTAACAGTCTTCCTATTGGAAAAAGTGCATATGCTTTCTCAACTAAAGGTTTTCGAAAGAGATTTATTCTGTAGAGTCGGTACGTACACTTTAGCACAATTTCAAACTCGGTGAAACTTTCATAGAATCATTTTGTTCTCTATGAGCCCTCATTCTACATATTTAATGTTTTTATTTGAGAAATCATGTCAGACTTCAATGCTCTTTTCCTTGTATTTTACTTTGCATGTGGAGACAAAGGATGTGAAACTGCAGGGCGCATTTTTCGAGTAATCAAACTTATATTTAGAAAACGAACACTGCAGTTTTACATACTTTTCTTCAAGCAGAATAAAAAGTCTTTTGCTACAATGAAGCATTTTCGAGAATTCTTGCAAAAGCATACATAGATTTTCCAGCAGGTGATGATAGGAATCATAAAAATTTTCGGCAAAAAATACAGCGTCAAAATATAGAATCATATCTTTTATGAAATGTCAGAACTCATGTTATCTTCCATTTCGATTTTTCTGATGAAAATTGAAAGGAGGCCTTAAACAAATTACTACTTATTATTAGTGTTCACTAGCATAAGATTTATTTAGTCAAACATAAACATCATAATCTTTCTCTAGTAATTGAATTAAAAACAAAGTTAAAATTGGTGACTAACTTTTAGAATATGTTTAATAGAAATAAACACATTTAAATTCCTCAAAAAAAATTGAAATCTAATTGATTTTTATCACTATTAACCATAGATGACAACAATTGGTTTTGGTGATCTTTATCCAACAACATATGTCGCTAAAATGATAACAACAACAATTTGTTTTCTTGGTGTTGCATTCTGGTGTTTACCAGTAGGCATTATTGGAAGTGTACGTACACAATTCTTGTTCTTTTTTCTTCATATATATATTTTTTTAACTTAAAGGGTCTTGCTATAAAAGTTCAAGAAAAAAAACGTGATGAAGCATTAAGTCGTCTTGTACCTGCTGCTGCTACTGTTATACGTAATTGGTGGCGTCTTCGATGTGTTCGTCATGGTGATCGTTTTGTAGCAACATGGAAAATTTACACAATAATTCAACGTCGTGTTCATGATCCTTTATCAACACGACATAAAGAAACATCATCGATAATTACATCGACAAATTATACACCATCTGAAATGAAATCATTACGATTTAATTTTATAAATCCAATGACGACGACGACAACAACAACCGCAAAATCAAATAATATTCGACGAAAATCAATAACGTGTATCGATGATTTACCAAAACGTTATATAACAGCAATAAAAATCATTCGTATACTTAAATATTCGGTTGCTTGTAAAAAATTTCAACAAGCAAAACGTCCCATTGATATAAAAGATGTTGTTAAAGAAAATACACAAGTGAATAATCGTTTATCAATTATGTTAAATGATGTACAACGTCGTTTAGATTTAGTATTAGGTACAACAAAACCAGCTTCATATTTATCCGATGAACAAAAGCGACAATTAAGTTTAAGTGCTCGTATTGAGAAAGTTGAACAAGTAGCAAATCGATTTGAAACAAAATTAAATTATTTAGAACAACTAGCATTAACATTAGTTAAAAATGCATAAGAAAAGAATCAGAAGAAATCTTTTTTTTTGTTCTTTTTTTTTTTGTATAAATTATTTTTAGAATAAGTTTTGTAATTAACCAGCTGAATGAGGACGTATGACATTTTTACGTTTCATTGATTTATCAGTTGGAATTGGTTGTATTAATTCCGATTCTCTTAGAGTTGAACTTGGTTCCAAATCTAAATTGAATAATTCTGGTGTTGATAATTGTACTATTGAGGGTTCTAAATTTATTTTTTCTGCAATAAGTGATGCTATTAACTGCTTTCGTTTATCTTGATAAATTCTATTCAATGGCTCAATAAGTAAAGAACGTCTACGTTCTAGTTGATGTTGTTCTTTACGTAGAATATTTAAACGAATATTCTTTTCACGTTCATAATATTTTAAACGAATATCAAGAAGACGATCTTCACGTTTATTTTTCGCACGAACTTCATCACTTAATTCACTATAACGTTGATGAAATAATTCATTGTTAACATTCTATTTAGACGAAAAGAAAACAACTATATAAATAAATGAAAAAAGAAAAACTATTCACATTATAACTATCTATTTTCACTACAATTATACAGTAATGGATTCAAAAACTATTGTACATTACCGATTTTGTTCGACCGAATGCCATGTCTTTTAATAGTTTAAATAAAAAATATTTTTGCCAAGATTCGTTTCACAGCTGGAATATAAATAATGAATTTTATTTTGTTTTCTTTTTCACTCTCGTTTGATTCATTCACGAAACATAACAGATGAAAAGAATGAAACTAGGTTGCTGTTTCTCATTCAACTTAACGAACTTGATCTTTTATACCTTATCACTTAATGTCAATCAATTAAGTAATTCGAGAAGAGTTGAAGCTCTTTTTTTTTTGTTTCTTCCTTATAACAAATTCAAGTGATATTCTTTTTTTTACTATTGCTCATACTTAGCTTCTATCCTTTCAATTGCTTTGTTTCAATGCAGAAGAAAAAGAGCCTTAGTTATAAATTAAAAAAACATGTTTTGCTCAATTTTCTTTACAATATTATTTTATCATGTTTTCATTTATTTATTCACAGATATGTTTTATTTTATTTAGAAAAATGATCTTAATTACATATTTGAAATTTTTTAAAATCTATTATTAAACCTTCAGTAATAGTAACAGAAGAAAAATATACATTTAATCATACGTGAAAAAGATTAATTAGCATCATTCTTGAGAAAGAAAAATTTGCCAAGTAAAGTCTAACAACCAGAATTGCAGTGAGACTAAAGTTTGAATCAAATTCTAATATAGTTTTTGACGAATTCTATTTCGTTGAATTGTACATGACGTATCAGTATTGATTGACATCAACTAAATCAATCTGACATATTTTCGAGAAAACTAAAATTTTAACTAGTAAAAGATTTCGGAAATGTGATCTCTCTCAATTTCGAATGATATGATAGATAATTGACAGTTTTAAAAGAAATGACAATCTCATTAAAATACTTCTTTGTAAAACATCTCGAGTTAAATAGCTGAAACAATGTTGCAGTAAATGTATTCTACGTGGATATAATTCATCACCTGTAAATAAGTATTTATATAATATTTTTCGATTTGAGCAATTATAATCTTTAAAAACTTGAAATATAAATTGATCAGAATGGTAGCCATATTGTAATTCATAACCGTCATATTACAATCAATAAGGAACTGACTAAATTTATTCCTAAGTTTCTCCGAATGCAAAGCAGAACCAACGAAATTCAGATCAAATTTAACTAAAATAGACTTCTGATTACAATTGTAAATTATAGAATCTATTCAATTGATATTCAGAATGTCTGTTTTTAGTAAATTATAGCTAGTGGAATGCAAATCATGTATCTCGTTAAAATTAAACAGGTAATTTTGATATAGAACATCTTTATAAATATATTGTATTATTTTTTCTATTTGAATAGCAATCACTTTTATTCATTCCAGTGCTAAATATCTTCCTATTGGTTGATTGGGTCACCTAAGTTACTAACGAAGAAAACAAATCATAATCGATCACACTTTTTAAAAGAATTTTTCATATTAAGAAAAATACAAAAATCACAGATGCTTTCAATTCATTCAGGTTGGAAAAGTAAATGAAAAGAATTGTTATTGTTTAAAAAAAAAATCTTTTAAAATATATTAAGTTTTCACGATGTATGAATGAATGAAATTTGTGTCTTGCTGTTTAATGTTATACAATTTTTATTTTAGAAATTGAAAATCTAATTAAAAAATGATCATGTAAGAAACATAATGGTATGCCATCGGTGTTTGCCGTCAAATGGATGAATGCAATTAATTATATACCATTTGGTTTTTCTGTTGATGGTATTGTTTATTTGATAAGTTCAGTAAATCTATATATATGTAGAGAGAAAGAAATATGGAACCTTGCTTTGAAGTAAACAAAATATGATAAAACACTAACGTTGATAAATAGTTATTTTTGGCTAATAAATCATAAAATATTTTGTATTTAGGTCAATCAGAGAGAAAAAGAGTCGTATTTACATTGTACAAACGATATATTTACATAAAACAAAGTAAATAACTTCGACTAATATCTCATTACAAACAACAAGAATTTTTCAATCATTAAGGTATGTCTACATTCCCAAAACATACTATTTTCTGATGTTTTTATATAGATTGAACAGATTAATGTACAATATTTTTCATAAATTTGATGATTTTATTTGTCTATTTACAAATATCTAGTGAATATAAAAATTTTTTATTGAAATTTCCGAATAATTCATTTAATCTAGTAAAAGGATACGATTTTCTTATGGAAAATTATCTTTTCTACGTCTCAATAATAACGATTTTTTTTTTAGATAAACAGAAAACGAAATGAGACGATCAAAATCAAAAACTCCATCAGCTGATACGAAGAATAAACGTACACCTTCTGGTGTACGTATCGATTGGGTTCCACCACATCCAGCCATCGGCGCTCAAGTAAACTACAACCAAAAAAGAATTTTTTCTATAAAATAATTTCATTTAACAATAGTTATTAGCAACATTAGAAAGTAATCCATTAGAAGAACGAGATATTGCTGGTGTTCGTCTTTCACGTGGTGTTTATATGCATTTTACTGCACAAGAAATTCGTGATCTTAAAGAAGTATTCGATTTTTTTGATCATAAACGTCGAGGGTTTGAATATAAACTATCTTTATATAAATTAATATCTGTATTTTTATTAGAAATCTTAAACCAAAAGAAATTGTCTATGCAATGAGGACATTAGGTGTTAATATAACGGTTGAACAATGTGTTGCCTATATAGAAAAAGAAAGTCGAGATAATTTGTAAGAAATAAATATTTATTTTTTCAGAAAAATATACAATAAAGAATTTAATTATTTATAGGACACTTGATTTTGGAGAATTTCTTCTTTTACTTGCTAATTTTCAAAGTGAAGAACAAGATGATTATGATGAATTAAATTTAGCTTTTCAATTATTTGATATTGGTGAGAGATTGAAAATTTTTACTTATTTAGTTTTCTTTTGTTTTTAAAGAAGGTTGTGATTATATTGATATGAATACTCTACGTCGAATAAATGCACAAACAGGTTTAAATTTAAGTGAACTTGATTTACAGTTAATGTTTCAAGCTGCTGATCGTAATGGTGATGCACGTATTGATCGTCATGAATTTGTTCGAATGATAAGACAAACAAATTTATTTTCACGTTGAAAATTTTTGTTTTTTTATGAAATACGTAACTCAATACAATATATCGAGTTAATGAAAATTATTTGATTCTTTTTTGTTTGTACTTGGATTTTTTTTTGACCATTACTATGAATGAAATATGCAATCCGTTATTCATAATCATTAGATGAAATTCGAGTTTCACTCGATTGAGAAATTCGGTGAAAAACTACGAATATTGTTAATCATCGGAAAAATCGATATCTTATCAAAAGAAAAACAAAATAATCATTTTTAAGATTAATGACACAATGGTTTACTGCTCGAGATAGTTACAGTTCATAGCAACGAGTTTTTTTCGTGTTGTTCTTATTGGGAACCTGCATTATCTAATGATCGAAAGATAACCAAAATGGTAAAGCAGGCATGGTAAAATATATTAGTACGAGAACTCTGTCAACACGTATCAATATGCTTTAAGGAAACACTGTAGATTTATCGCTTAATTATGTATATGATCCATTATCTATCACCAGCTGTCCATATAGCTTTGATGAATAAAATCGACTTGTCATCGTTGTCATTATGTCGAAAATTGAGAAGAAAAAAGTAATGCCCACAAAAATTTGTCTTTTTTTGGATGGCTTTCTCTAAGGAAATAGAACGTTCTGTTGACAATTGGAAAATGATTAGTTTAGATTCTGTCATGAAATTTCATGCTCACATTGGAACTCAAAAGGTAGAGAATTTGAAGCTGTACAAAACTATCCATTTAATTGATTAGTTGTAACGTTAAAAAAAGATCACAATATAGACAAGTTATTTTAGGATGTGGGTTTCACTAGAATTTCAAGAATACTACTAAGTTCTCGATTAAAATTTGCATCTTTGAATGTATATTTCAGAGTTTTAGCTGAAATATTTAGGGATAACCAATTTTGACATTCAAAAGAACTGAAAACACTAAAGGGAGTCTTTTATGATAGAGCTGTGCGATTCTTCGTTTTGTAATTCTGAATAGTCGTATGAGAGAACTACCCTAACTGACACTCACTGTTTAAGCTCATATTGAATCGACAGACAAGTGACAGTGATACTAGCAAAGCCTTAGAAGAGTTCGTTCCCATGAGCTTTTGTCGCTCAGATATCATGAATTTAAACGGTACGTCCTAAAAAATCAAATGATAGAATTTCGATCTAAAATATTACATTAGGATAGATCAAGGTGTTGAATTTCAAGAAAAATGTCCTTTGCCATCGACATATTACAAAATCGAATTGACTTGAAAATTCAATAGTTCAACGAAGAAACATTCTTTTCCATTGAAACTTTCGAGATATTCACTTGATCGTTATTCCTATCTATCGGGTAAAAGTTTAGATCGGAATTCTGTCATCTGACTTTTTAGGTCTACCCAGGAAACCGTTCATAACTCGGCATCGAAAGTCAATGCGAACGAATGCTGTCCAACTTTTGCTATTCTCAATGATGTCTGCCTTTGAGTTCAATATGAGTTTAAGCGATGGATATCGATTAGGGTAATTTCCCCAGTAACACTATCACTGTTCAATTTAACAATTAGACCATTTTTTGCAGAATTAAATTCTACACCCGATAGCCTTATAATAAATCTTTTATAGAGTGATTCTTAGTTTTTGAAAACATAGTTTTTCAAATGATACGAAACTATTGACAGATGTCGAAGCTAAGCCTTTTTCTTCTAATTTACACTTTCAGAAACATTGAACTAACCGTAGAAGTATGAACCATGAAATGCTCTATCTATTGACATGAAATAATTTATTTACAGCATTCGTCTTGATGTACATATGTTTCCACTAAGCAAAAAAATATGAAGTCGTAATTGAATGAAGAGGTACAATGTAAAATGTTTCAGTTTGGCGTCAACAAGCGAAACAAACTGGAAAAATCAAGTGGATAGTTTTGTAGAGTTTCAAAATCTTTATTTCTCCTAGAGACTTTCGGTCGACTCCCTGTTTACATTGCTAAGTTGATGAGAAGAATATTCGATCTCATCTACAAATTAATGAAGAAATAATTTGCATTATGATTGCTTTATGTTTGTGTGTAATGCAAGATGAAGTTTTTTTTTTTGTTATAGGTTAGGAAATCATTCGGATTGAATCTTGCGAATCAATACATAGTTGTCAAGTTTTTTTTTACATAGAATATAGAGTTACGATTAACAGTGAGTATGCGTTGATAATCATTTTCTGAAAAAATTCAACGAAGACAACGGATAAATTCAATGTGAGAATATCCAAAAACATTATAAAGAAAAATACAAATAACTAATAATATGTACTCCAAACATTACTGATCATGATATTGCTTGGAACGCAAGATGAATTAATAATATTTTGAATGAAAGAGAGATAAAAGTGGTTTCCATATGTGCCATATTGATACTTGTCTTCTAAGGAGTTTACTCAATAATCTTTTAAACTCTTTTACTGCAATATTGTTTTTCTCTACGCTAAAAATAACAAAGACCTACTTATATATTTTGCTAATCGACAAAATCAGATTGTCCTGTTGTTAGATATTGTTTTTATATATTTTCTTTTCGAATTTTGTCTGACAGCTGCTTTCTTTAACAACGCTAGTCCTTATAAACTTGCATGCTTTTGTTTACTTGAGTGCTATTTCTTCTTTTCTCAACCTTGTATCTCATTGGAGCATCACGATTTTTTTCTCTCAAGAAGATTCGCTATTTTCTCGTAGTATTTAACGTATAATCCTCGAACGAAGTTATTCAATAAAGCATATAGAATCTTTACTATTAAAGAAAAATCACTGACATCCTAAATGAACGATTTCAATCAACCTGCACAATTGTTGCTATAATGATGAACTTTGACCAACTCTTAATTCTATAAAAAGAATGATCTCCATCATACTTTAATCTAATTATCTAATTCTTTTTCTTAAAGTGATAGAATGAAGATCCATTGTTTTTTGTTTCTATGAAAATAGGGCAGACGGTACGAGATTTTGAAAACTTTATATCTAGAAGAGGTTATATCCAAAGAGTCTGAAATTTTCTACTCTTACTAATTTAAGTGGGAGCTTTGTACGAGTTAAGTTTCAGATCAAAATTCAACGATTAATTTTTTTTGAAAATGAACGATCCTATTGAAGGGAGCAATGAATAGTTAGAATTATTCTCGATTAACATCTAACAAACTTCACTTTTACCTCATTGAATCCCACGGAAGTAAATTCAGTAGAAACTCCACAGCTTGGTTAACACCCGATAATAGCATAAATCCTTCGAAATATGCTGTAGTCTATTAATCCTCTAATACTGAACAAAATATGAATTGAACAGTGTTTAATTATTTGAGAATGTTTCTCATAAAAATTCTAATAGATGCACAAAAGAAATTAATATTTTTATTTCGGTCAAGGCCGATAGCTTTAAGCATTATTTGTAATTTTCTGTCATAAGAATAAAAACTTGGATCTTTTCTCTATCATCGGAAAAAAGCAATTAGTCAATTCGACTAAAACACAATGGAAATATTCAGAATTGTGTTTTAGTAGGTGACTTTTAGAATATTCTATTTATTACATATAGCATCTAATTAATATGCATATCTCGATGTTAAAGCTGCTTTAAGTCATGTACACTGTCAAATTTGCCCTCTACAACAATCAACTTAGATAAATGTATGACATGCACTAGGTTTTTTTTCTAGTAAAGTCGTAGATTACCCAAAATATAGAATGGGTCCTAAACAGCAACACAATAAAAATTTGAACATCTCCAATCTGTGTAAATCAAACAAGATAAGTTTTTTTTTCAATTAGTAATAGATGACTGTTCAAAGTTTCTATTTATAAAATAGAAAACATGAAGAAATATTACTTCAAACTATGATCGTTGAATACAAGAAATGTTTGTAGTTTTCTTTTTTAATGAATTCCAAACACAATTTATGATGTTTTATTAATGAGTAGACTAATTCTGTTCCAAGCATAGGTTAATATTTCAAGTACAATTCATTACAGATAAGTTTTTTCTGGAATAAAAAAAAAATTTCAACAATCTTTATGTCGTTGACAAAAAAATTAGCTCATTTGATTTCTACAGATTTGAGACATTCAAATGTATTTTGTTTTCTCTGTTGTTTTGAAATTAAATAAATTACTGTTTAATAAAAATGAAGTACGTTATTGGTTGGTTTAATTTTAATATCATAAAATGAAAACAATATGATTGTCTACAAATCACTAAATTTCGTAGTTGCTGATATGGGGAAATCATTGCGAAAAATTACATGCTGTTTGCTTATTGAGTCGGTTGAAGGCTTTTTTCCATTATGATTTAGATGTAGAGAAGTCATCGATGGTGTTAATGGGATGAGTGCTTCATTTGTTGTCTGATTGAATATCACAGTTGATGGTGGTTGAATTTTTATAGCAGAATGTTTCATTTCGATATTTGTATTATTAATTTCAAGATGATTATAATTATCATTGTTATTATATGGTTTAGTAATTAATCGTGTTGTTGATGGTAATCGACTTTGTCTAGATTGATTCTTTGATGGACATACCAGTTCTGTAAATGCCTCTCGAAATGCTCTTGACATACGACAATAGATAAAAAAATTAATTGGATACGATAATAAAACAGCAAAATTAAGCAATTGAGCAGAAAGCCTTAGAAATGTTGATAAAAAGTCTGATTTTAACAAGCTTAATAAACCAGATATAATCAAATGAAGTGCCATTGGAATTTCAACAATTAAAAAAATAGTGACTACAATAACCTATATAAATATGACATAACAATAAATAAACAAAAAAAAAATATGTTTTGTGATCTAACATACAAGCATTAATGTAACACTGGTTTGTTCTTGTGCACGAGCTTCATGACTGCGTTTTCTCATAAGTCTATCCCGATTTTGTTTTGCTTCTTTCATACGTTCGACGAGTATAGCATTTAATATAACAAGTATCGTGCATGGACCAACATTAATTAATAAAGCACGTAATACCGAATAAACAGAATATAATGTACTGAATCTTGGGTCTTTGGAGTAATCACGCACACGAAAACCATTAAAAATTTTGTTTGGATCTTTTAATGAATGAACTGCTATCGGATGAAATGTACCTTCAACAAACATTGGTATTGCAACAATAAGTGCTAAGACATTCACACATGCTACTGCCTTAAGAGCCATTCGTACAGTACACCATTGTTTAGCCTTTTCCGAATGACATACATATATATATCGTTGAATAGCTAAGACAACAGTCACCTTAAAAAGGTAAGAAAAAAATTTTAAAAAAAGAATATGAGATAATAATTTTATCGTTTGAGATGATTTTTTCCGATCAGATTTAATTATTTTAAATAAATAATGAAGATTACTTGAAAAAAGAAAAGGATTTATATTAAGAATATAACTCCAGGGGATTAGTTTTCTAATTTTGACATTTCGGAAGTTCATTATTCTCCTTGTCTAATTATTAATTACTAGGTATTAAAGCAGTATTACGCACGAATACTTTCAACTTACCCAAATTGAGCATGTATGAAATGTAAACGGAAGCACCTCAGAATTAATTCGATGAAACCACCCATAATTATAAGGCATGTAATCATCACACTTTTTAAATGTAAACAAATATATATATGTTGGAAAAGGAAATAATCCTGTAAGTGTGTCATACAGTGCAATAGCAAGAAGAAGAATATTTGTTGGTGAACGAAGTTGTTTTTGAAGTAAAACAACAGTGATTAATGAATTTAATACAGTTGAAATTATAATAATTAATGGTGCACAAACACCTTGTAAAATAACATAATATGGTGGTGGACATTGACCAGGATGAAATGGATACCAATCTAAATCATTTGGTGGCGGATTTACAGTTGTTGGTTGGATTATAGATGATGTTTGATTCGATGAGATTACCATTGTATCAAAATCAAATGGAAAAAGAAGGTTAATTGTATTATTATTGTTACCAGTGTCAAACCATCGTCTAGAATAATAAGTGAAACTTGTTGAAATAAGTAAACTAAATTCAATTAATGTAATAGAAAAAAAAATTTCAGTTATCTATGAAAATCATCGTTTCAAGTGTCCATGTTATGAATGTCTTAAGTCTCGTTTTTTTCCATTCTTGTTAACTTGCCGATTGTTTGTCAAATCGACAAACAATCGAAGCTTGATCAAGTGTTATAGAAAAAAAAAAATAGGGATTACTAATATTATTCACGAGCGGAAGCAAATAAGTAGCATCGAATACACATGAATTCCTATCAGAAAGCGAACAAGAACATTGGAAATGATAAAGATTGACAAGAGAAAATGTTCACGATAATGTTCGGCAACATTCGACCCTTAAGGCGATGCCTTCAACAGGAAGAGAGGGAAGGAGAAAGAGAAAGAGAGATAAAATAACTGAGAGAACGTCATCAATTACATTTTTGTTATTATATGGTTGATGAGGAAGAAAACATGGTTCAAATCATAAATCATTTCTAGGCCTGCCCTGTGTCATATACATTGAGATTTTTGTCTTTCCTTTTTTTATCTCATCCATACAAGTACACCTTGGTGTTATTCCCAAATGTTGTTGCAGTACTATATAAAGATTTTCTTATTTCGTACAAATATTCTAGTATATAATAAACAGTTGATAGTTGTAACAAATTGTCGAGTGATGAATGACAATGTCAGATACACATCCTACGTAATCTATAAAATAATTCGCTATTATAATATCATGCATAATAAATTAATATAAGCATGTAAAGTGTAGAGAATTTTTTTAAAGAATCAATGTCAAATATGATCAGGTTAACATAGCAGTAAAACAGAGAAAAAAGACAAATCAGTCAAAAAAAAGTTGCTTTTTGCTTTCTAAGCTTACTCTTGTCTTTCATTGTTCTTTTCAGAAAACGTCATTGTTACGTATATATTTATATAGTGTTGATTTAGCCGATTCAGGATGCGTTAAGTTGTTGATGAATGAAAGAAGTCAGTGATATGTTATTTATTCATCTATATAATGTTTAAATAAAACTAAGAAAGAGAAACGTATATTGCGAGTCATGAGTACTTATTTGGTTATAATAAATTTTTTATTTGTGCTTTTAGCTATACACAAGTATATACTCTTGCCGACTTAAAAGATGATTTGTTTAATTAGAAAAAAACGATATAGCCTCATGTATATTTCCTTTTTGCAAAAATGAGACATTAGTTTTTAATGACACATTTTGTTTTCAATTATTATATTTGTTACTTTCGTACTAATATATTCTTTATATTGGCATTTTTACACGTCTTATCATCATTTATTAGTATTTCTCTATTGAAAACGCAAATGTTTCCTTCTTTCTCTTTTTATTGTTTTTCAACAGTCTTGGTTGTTTTGCTCTATTAATTAGGAATATCAAATTTACATATATTTGCTTAGGAATTAAATACTAAACAACAAAATTGTTAATTTTTCATGCTAGTCTATATATACATATCATAGTATTGTTTTCTTATTTATTTCCTAGTTACATAGTATGAATTAGGACATCTGAATTGTCAATAATCTAGACTATTGAATGAATGATCAAGTTTAGAAAATCTTTATTATACATGTTGTTATAGAAAATTAAAAAATAAAAGGAAGGAAATCAAAAATAGCATTTCTCGCTAGTAGATATGAGCGGAATCGATTCCTTTTTAGAATCGGATTCATCCAATCTTTAGATTTACAGCAATACCTATCTGTTTTTCTTTCTTTTGCTTCAGGTATTTTGTTAGTATTGTTTGTCGGCATTCTTTTTAGGTCTTATTTCCTTGTATTCTATGATTTCTGTTCTGTTCAAAGTGCATTTACTACTACGTAACGGCGGCAAACCAGGTATTCATTCCCTTTTTTCTAGTCCAAACCCTGTAACATTCGAACACAAAGGAATGAAAAGAAAAGAAAAATAAAGAACTTTGAAAGAATACGATGAATTAAATATACAAGATGTAATATCTAAATTAGCAAATTATGCATCCCATAAAGATAACATCTAGATGCATGGCGAATGCATTTTTTCATTTTTATTCTGCTTTATTAATTGCGTTCATTATCTGATCTTAGACATAAATATTCATTATTCTTCTAACAGATTATGGATTTTGTTTAGTGAAGAAACAAATGTCGATTAGTACTATTTTTTAGTTAGGTAATAATTACAAATTTATCGAAATCTGATATTGAAAAGCTAATAGAAAATCATAATCTATCTCAATACTAAATATGCATCTAGTAAATATTGTTCTAACTATTCTCAATCATTTGTTAGTCGTGCTGCTAAAGAGTTAAATACAGGGCGTTTAAAAAAAAACTTACACTTTTTTATAATATTGTTTCTACATTTTTAATATTTAGTATTTAATTCAATTATCTCGATAACGTCTCATTATAACTGTAGACGTGAAAGAAATGCACCAAATATGAAATTTATTCACAAATGGTATACTTTTTATCGTAAAGCAAAAATGATCTACGATTTACATTTACATTTGGCTTGAAATTTGATATAGTTATACACCTGTTAGATGTGTACACATTACGCACAAAGAATTCAATTCAAAAAAGATTTAATTTTTTTTCGAGAACTGTTCGTACTGGATGCTGAATTTTGCTTCATGCAGTTGTTCGCACTGATATTTACTTCTCATCATCGGACTCCATCTTATCAATAATTTATACATCATTGTAGCAATAGAAAAGTTCTCTATACAACATTGGATTTCATATGGAAATTCAAATAGTATTGGAAAATTACCAGGAATTCAAAAAACAAATTATCTCTACTTTAGTTGTGAACACCCAGAAATTTATAATTAAAATTTTAATCTTAATTCTGTTGTGTCATTGAATTACGGAATTTTTAGAAAAAGATCGAAAAACAGCAAAGGTGATTTTATTCCAAAACAAATTTTATGTTCGATGAACTCTTTTCTTGTTTACAACAGTGACATGACCAGAATTTGCGGGTAGGAGGCCTCAAAGTTCCGCAGGGGAAGGAAGGGACTGAGTTTTCTTGGGCTCACAACTAGTTCACAATTATAATAAAGCATTTTCAAAATAATATTACCGCAATTTAGTGGTTTTTTTTGCTATTTCTACCGAGTGCGCTCTTAATTATCAACAATTGTTAACTATGTCTGTGTCAAACAATCTCGACAATAATGAACGTTTGATTTGCATGATAAAAAAAAGAAGTGAACGACAGTAGGTGCTAAATTTTGTGCTATTGACAATCTTATTAGATAATAGTTTTTTATGCTTAGACGATGAACTTTTTAATGTCGGTCATGTATTGAATGCTTTAATCCAAGTCGAGTTAACTTTATTCGATCGAACATCAGAAGGTTTTTTTCTCATATTCTTTTCTACGACCGTATGCTATGTTATTTAGTATTTCATATTAATGGTGCAACCGAGAAATTTTTTACTCTGAGCGGATATTCTCATCAAGCGCGTACAATTGTTCACTATAAATGCTCAAGTTATTTGTGTAAGTACTAGGGTAATTTGATGTTTATTAATAGTGTTTAAGTAGTCTGAGAATTATTCATATAAGTTGCTCTCAACAAATTTATTTATCGACAATGATGGAAATACTCAACGTAGTCATTATATTCGTTGTTTTCATGGAATCTTTATCAAAAACATTTTTACGCTTGTATGTATAGGAATAGATTAAAGTTATTTAATAAAAAAAAATAATATAATACAACGGACAATAGAAAGAGACTATGTTAACGACTTATCTATTTAGTTTACTCTCTATATCTTTGCTAATAAGTCTTTTATACGATTTCGTCAAATGTTAATTTTATGCATATTGTTTGATACATCTATCCAGGGGTGTCCCGACCGGGGGGGGGGGGGGGGGGGTGACCCCCCAATGTTGAAAAATTTTCTTTTTCCCAGCAAAATTTCAACATTTTTTCGGTTTTTTTGCTCACTAACTCTCAAAACAATCTCGCGCCCCCCCCCCCCAATCTTGGCAACCTCGGCACCCCCCTGCATCTATCTATGTTTTCGTCTAATATGACTGTATCTGAGTCGTAACCATATTATGATACGGCCATATTACAGACTCTAGAATTACTGCTAAAATATGATCCGTTTACGTATCATAAATTAATCGTAAATAGATCGTATCATTCAACCTGAGTTAGAAAAAAGCAAAATGACTTTTTATTTTAAACCGTTAACTTGTTAAATAAGATTGAATATTTGTTTAAATGTGTTAATAGAGTTTTATTGAGATGTAATTTTCTAAATTTAAATAAAAAGTTCTGTAGTACAAGACAAGTGTTCAGATGAATTGTGAAAGGCAACGATACAAAATGAACTAACAACTCTTGTTACAAGTTAATGGGGCGTGAAATTCATGAAGACGTCTGAATACTATACTGTCATAGATAGCACAATGTTTTGAATCTAGATTAGGGTCAATAATGTGCGTAAGATGCTCATTGAGAAGTTAAAAGTAGAGAGGAGAAGGACGACTTATTTTTAACGCAACCCTAGTGACAAACAGTTAGTATATCTTATTTCTAACTCACAACTTGTATTGTATAAAGTCGGTATGATTCAAAAAAAAATTCATAACTTGCGTCAAAATACGTGCACTTAAAGAAACACATGAATATTGGTTGGCAAAGAGAAGTTTCAGCAGGTTTTAGTTTATCTAATTCGAGTTTTTTTTTACTTGTAACAAATGAGTACCAGTTCAAGACCTCAAAAATATAAGGTACGATGTTCAATCAAACGAAATTCAATGTTTCCTCAAGCACATTTACTAAGCCTGCTTCAATACGAATATGTTACTAGTTGCAACTAAAAGCGGAGAAAAATATTTAACGTTTGTATAAGAATTTCGATGCACTGCTTCGATAAT